GCATTTCAGCTCACTAATGCCTAAGATATCAATGTTTATGCGTTCCATTTCATTTTTGACAACTTCCGATTTTCCCAGATATACACTTCGTATATTACATGTTCTGATTTTCAATGGATGTTTACAGCACTTTCTCTTCATTTTGAGTAGTGCCCCATCAGAAAATGAAGGTCCTGCAGGTTTTACTCCATTTGCATCCTCACAGTCAACTCTACTCTGAGGAGGCAGCTCTTCCCCAGTCGCATTTTCATTGCCTTCCAACTTTAGGGGCTCATTTTCCGGCACTATGTCTGACAGTATTTATCTGCTATTCATAAGGTTTTCAGTGACTAAATTTTGGAAGTATTTCATCACTCCTTCTTCTTAGTCTGTCTTTGTCTGGAAGCTCATCTGAAACTTATCAACCATGAGTGACCCTGCTGGTATTTCAAATACCAGTGGCATAGCTTTCAAAATCAAAGCAACTCACAAGCCACCACAGTACAACAAACTGATAGACGAGTGGTAGAGTTATTCCTTTATATCCCACTAAAGTGTCTATTTTACAGTAGTATGCAAGGGAAACCAATATTCATAATACAGCTAAATATTTTAACATAATTTCTCCTCTTTTACCTATTCAGACTATGCCTTGATCCCTGTATCACAGACCCCTGTTGTTTCAAGGTTGAGCATACATTACTATTTGCCTCTGTCTCATTAAGCCAATGCAAGGCTGCCTAAGGGTTCCCCTATTTACCTTGTTCTTCCATCCCCTTCCCCTTTCTTGGGTATTGCCCTTCCCAACACCTGAACTATGATGTGTCTATCCCCTACCCTATACTCTACCATCCTCTGCCTCCTCACCCCTCATCCTCACCTTTCCCCCCTGCCCCCAGGTAACCAAAAAGTTGTTTGTTTTTTCATCAACTCTACTCAAGTTATTCCAGAGTATAGAAAAGTATGGAAAACTTTCTAACAGATAACATTGTACTTTAAGATATAACTTGAAATGCTCTTTTTGACTATGAATGTGACACCATTCTTTTTCAGTTTGACATTCTCAGTATAGTAAGCCATATGATTGTCTGATTCACAATGGCCAATAACAGTCCCCTTCTGCTCACTAATACCTAGGATATTGATTTTTATGAGTTTCATTTCATTTTGGGCTTCCAATTTTCTTAGATTTATACTTCATATATTCCATGTTCTAATTATTGATGGATGTTCCCACTGTTTTGTCTCATTTTGAATTGTGCCCAATTAACAAATGAAGGTCTCAAAAGCTTTGCTTCATCTGTATCATCATGATCAATTTTACTTTGAGGAAGCAACGCTTCCCATCATATTTTGGGTACTTCCATTGAGAGGCTCATCTTCTGACATTATAACAGATAATGTTCAGCTTCAATTTATATGATTTTCAGAGAAAGATCCTTCAGAAGTATTTTGCCTCTCCTTCTTCCTAGTCTGTCTTAGTCTAGAAGTTCTGCTGAAACCTGTCCACCATAAGTACCTCTGCTGGTATTTAAAAACCAACGGTATAAAAAACAAACAAAACAAAACAAAAAACCAATGGTATACCTTCCAGCACTACAGTAACACACCAGCCTCTAAAGTACGGCAAACTGACAAAGGAATGATAGCCATAAGGTATGTTGTGTTGTTGTTAAGTGCTTTAATGCCAATTCTGATTCATAGCCACCCTATGTAAAAGCTCCTGAGTTTGTATATCTTTGCTGGAACTCTAAGTCTTATTTTTCTCTCACAGAGTGACTGGTGGGCTCAAACTGCCAACTATGTGATTCACAGTCCAATGTTTATTATACAAAGTCACCATGCTGCCATGAGGTATGTTGCTGTTGTCAAGTGTCATTGAGTTGGTTCTGACTCCTAGAGACCCTGTGTAGGGTTTCTGAGAAGCTGCTGGTAGGACTGAACCACCAACCTTGAGCTTAGCAGTCCAGTGCTTATCCTACAGTGCCACACCGGGATTCATAGGTAGATACACAAATAGTTCATTTCAGTTGTGTTTGTAGAATACACAATATATTACATGTCCGGAATTATATGATTAAGACAGATGTTGTTTGTTGTGGCTAAGTGCTGTCCAGTTGGTTTAGACTCAGTGACCCTGTTTAGGATTTCCAAAGGACAACTGGTGGGTTTGAACTGCCAGCCTTGTGGTTAGCAGTCCAGTGCTTATCCTTCAGCACCACACTAGGATCTGCTTTACTCTAAAGTTGATCACTAGTGTCTGAGGTAGAAATTAAAATAAGAATTTTCATATGCTAACATTATTTTGTGATAGTAGTGAAGGTTTTGTGGTAAGTTTGAGCCACAATCAATGCACCTAAAGTACAACCCAACACCATTTCTAGTTCATTTTGCTGTGTATGTGCAACAAAGGTGACAAAAATTAGTTCATTCTTAAATCATTCTCTCAGTGAAGACTTGTATAGTGTTGTGAAGTTGGACAGGTTTCATGAAAGCTTCCATACAAAAACTAAATACTATCTGGCTATCTATTTCCAAACATCAGCCCATGATTCATAGTGTCCAATCCTGCTTTGTGAGGTTTGCTATAAGTTGGGGTACAATATGATGGCAGCTAACCACAAACAAAAACAAAAAACAAAAGTCCCTACTGTCCAGTCAATTCCAACTTAATTTGTAACTTAACTTGTAAAGTTAAACTGCCTAAAGGATATCCAAGGCTTTAAATCTTTACAGTAACAGACTGCCCATCTTTCTCCTTGTGAGCAACTGGTGGGCTACAACCACTGATCTTACAATGAGTAGTGGAGGTCTTAACCAAAGAGCCACCAAAGCTTCCCTAACAACAACCCAAAATGCCCAAACCCACAGTCATAGAGTTGATTCCAACTCATACTAACTCAAGGACAGAGTAAAACTGCTCCCTAGTGTTCCCAATACTAAAACTTTAGAGGAGGATACAGCTTCTTCTTTCTCCTGTAGAGTGGCTAGTGGGTTTGAAAGGCTGAACTTGCGATTAGCAACCCAATACTTCACCCATTGTACCGCTGAGGCTCCTTCTTCTTTTTTTTTTAACAAACAAAATCATAAACTATACTTTCAAACAATCTTTCATCTAAATGATTACAATCCCCTTCCTGAAAAAACAATTATCCTGCTTCCTCCCTGTGGCTTCTTATTTTTCACAAATCAACAAAGCAAAATATTTTTGATGTACACATACAAAACAAAAAAATACATATTCATCTAAATGTCCATAAGTCTCATTTTGCAAGACTGCCTCCTGCCCACAGTAATGTCTACTGATTGACAGGCACAATTATTTAATCACATTGTTATTTTGTTCTTAAGTACTGTGAGTCAATTCTGACTCATAGCAACCCTGTATAGGGTTTTCAATGAGCTGCTGATTGGATTTGAACCACCAGTCTTGTGGTTAGCAGTCCAGAGCTTATTCTACAGTGTCATACCAGGACTCCATATCATAGAATATATTACCTTTATGTAGGAATACACATTTTCGTCGTCTTCTGTGTTTCCTTTATGACTAAAAGTTGATTCAGAAAATAGTACTCTTTCATACATAATTTCTGAGGTTTTCAGGATGAATGCCACATTTGAAAAGATGTTTGGATACTTATAATATGTATCTTCTGATAAAGAAAGTGCTATTGTAAGAAAAAATAATTTTTGAGAAATATTTCATTAGTATTTTGTATTGTGCTTCATTTGTCTATTATTTACTAAGCTATAATTATATGCGATACTTGGATTCTGAAATTGCTGTACATTTTCCTCATCTATAAAGATTTATAATGTTATGTATGACCCCTGGTGGTGTAGTAGAAAACTACAATGTAAATAATTGATCCATAAGAGTTTATATTAATTCAGATAGCAATTGGATAATGGTTGAATGCCCAATTAAGTATAGTTACTGCTCAACAAAGCTTGGAGGCTCCCAGCTGGAAATAAATCAAATTATAATAGATACTTTATTCATAATGGATACTTGGAAATTACTTATTCTATACACAAATCAATATCATTGTTTTTAACCCAACTTTTCCTAGTTTCCTTTCTTCCTAAGATATTATTGATTTTTAAAGCATATATTTAAATATGGACAACAATAGCATCACTCGACTTAAGATTGTATGATGTTTAGCAAAACCATCTTTGTGCGGTTCTTCCTATAAACTTTCCCATAACCTTTGATTTCCGGTCCATATACTTAGTAGAAAAGCTCATAGTGACCATTCTGATGAGGCCACATAGATAGATAGCAGCTGCTAGTGGCCTCAGGCAAGAAACAGACAGTTGCTGCAAATAGACATATAGCCTTAGGCATTACTTATCAGTATTTGGTGAGAGGTCAGAATCTGGGAATATTATCCTTATATGAAACAGAGATGTTGGTTCTCTTAGGGAATATTCTTAAAGAATAGTTAACATGAGAACTGGAGATTTTATTAAAATGATTTTTCATAACTGGTTTACTATCATCATCTAAGTATTTAGTGAGCCATTACATCTAATGTTGTAAGGTGTTATATGATAGACATGGATTCTTATTCGGTCTGTCTACAGTCTCAATGGCACTTAACAACAACAACAACAGTCTCCTCTTAGTCTTGCACTAGTGGTACTTACTGATCAGTCTCCAAAACCCTTCTACTATTACCTCCTATTCCTTTCTCCATGATGTTTACCATCAAATAGTCTTCCTTTTTCTGTATACTGACTTTCCTTCCCTTAGTCTGCAACATACTAATCTTTTCTTCTCTTCATCTTACTTTTTAATCCAAACGATTGACTAATATTTTTCCTTCCCTTTGCAATTATGCTTTTTGAACCAGTTCGTAACCTCTTATCTAATGTATAAACATTGCCCTAGGAAAAAAGACTTTATGATCTGCTCCCATAAATATTACAGCCTAGGAAAGCCTATAGGGCAGTTCTACTCTGTCATATAGTGCCACTATGATCTGGAATTTACTTGATGGCACACAACAACAAATTTTCACTTCACTCTTCACTGTCCTCCAGTCTGAATTTTTCTTCCAACGCTTAACTGGGAATTCTCTGTAAACATCAACAATGACTTTTTGATTGCAAAGAATAATCACCAATTTTAAGATGTTCCATCACCGATTTTCACTATTTAACGGAGGCGTCCCTGGGCAATGAAAACCATGAACATGCTCTGAAGTTTGAATCTACAAAGAGGTTCTTCAGAAGAAAGGCCTGAGTATCTACTTCTGAAAAAATCAGACGCTGAAAAATCCTGTGGAACACAGTTCCACTCTTACACAAGTGGGTTGTCATGACTCAGCATCCACTTGAAAACAGCTGGATTTTTTAACATGGAACTAGTAATTCTGTGGTGGAATTCCCACCTTCCTTATGGGACACCCAAGTTTGATTTCTAGCCAATGTACCTCATGTGTAGCTGCCACTCATGTGTCAGTGTAGTCTTGCATATTGCAATAATGCTAAAAAATTTCCTTGACCCTTCAAAATCAACAGACTAGAAAAATGATCTGTCAATATACTTCCAAGAATCACTCAACAAAAACTCTAAGGATCAATTTGCAACAGATCAAAAGGATGGTGCAGGACCATGCAGCATTTCTTTATACTGTGCATGGGGTCACCATGAGTCATAGCAGCTAACAACACAACTATTTAATACTTGTACAGTTCTTGATAATTTTAGTCTTCTTGAACTTCCCCTCCTTGGATTTACATGTCATTACTCCCTCATATTTCACTTAAGTTCACTTAACTCCAATAGGAGTCCTGGTGATGCAGTCATTAAGCACTTGACTGCTAACCAGAAGATTAACCCACAACCAATCTACAAGAGAAAAATATATCAGAAAAGAAAAACTTCTGTAAAGATGGCTAACCTTGGAAACATTATGGGGCTGTTACACTCTGCCCTATGTTGTTGTTGTTGTTATGTGCCGTGAATTGGTTCCAACTCATGGTGACCCTTCACAGGTTTCCAAGGCTGTAAATGTTTACAGGAGCAGAAAGCCTCATCTTTCTCCCACGGAACAGCTAGCAGTTTCAAACTACTGACCATGAGAGTGGCAGCCTGATTCTTAACAACTATGCTACCAGAGCTCCATAGGGTTGCTTTAAGTCCAAATCTACTCAACAGCAGTAGATTTTGTTAGTCAAGATAAACTTATGCTCCTCCTTAACTCCTCATTTTCCTTTATGCTCATATACACCCTAATCCAATGGATCACTTAGTACAGTCTTTTTTTTTTTTCTTTTTCAAAAGTATTTCAATCTATCACATTTTAACTGCACTATCTCATCCGTTAGCTTCGTTTATCAATACTACTGCCACAGCTACCTAGTTATCTGCATTCATACAGCCTTTACTCCAGTCCAGCATCTCCATAGCCACTGTTGTTGTTGTTAAGTCCTGTTGAGTCATTTCTGACACATAGCAACCCTAACAGAACAAAGAGCCACTTGGTCCTATGCCATCCTCACAATTGATGCCACTGTGCCAATCCATCTCATTAGGGTCTCCCTCTTTCGCTGTGCCTCCACTTTCGGCAGCATGATGTCCTTCTTCAAGGACTGATCCCTCTTGATAATATGTCCAAAGAATGAGAGACATGATTTTCTTTTTCCAGTGACTAGTAACCCCTGATAATATGTTCAAAGTATGAGAGATGAAGTCTGGCCATTGTGCCTTCCAAGAAGCACACTGGCTATACCCTTTCCGACACAGATCTGTTTGTTCATTTGGCAGTCAATGGTATTTTCAATATTCTTCTCCAACACCATAACTCAACTGCACCAATTCTTCCACAGTCTCCCTTATACACTATCCAACTTTTACATGCATATGAGGTTATTGAAAATACCATGGCTTGGGTCAGGCACACCTTAGTCCTCAAACTGACATCTTTGCTCTTCAACACTTTAAATAAGTCTTGTGCAGCAGATTTGCCTATTGCAATGTGTTGTTTGATTTCTTAACTGCTGCTTCCATGAGTATTGATGGTTGATTCTAGCAAAATGAAATCTATGGCAACTTAAATATTTTCTCTATTTATAAGGATGTTGTTTATTGATCCAATAGTGAGGATTTTGTTTTCTTTACATTGATGTGCAACCCATATTGAAGGCTGTGTTCTTTGATCTTCATCCCTAAGTATTTTAAATCCTTTTCACTTTCAGCAAAATTCTATCATGTAATCTCCAGCATCATTTTTATCACCAAGGCCATATTTTCAAACTACTGACCCTTCCTCTTTGTTTACAACCTTTGCATTCCAATCACCAGTATATAGCTTTACATCTTGATTGCATGATTGATGAATTGCACACAGAAGAAGCTGGTAGAATTCTTCAATTTCATCACCACTGGCTTTAGTGGTGGGTGCATAAATTTGAATAATAGTAGTATTAACTGGTCTTCTTTGTAGGCATCTAGATATTGTCAAGTGTGGCAACAGTAGTAAGGTTGGCCCAGGATCAGGCAATGTTTCATTTTGCTGTGCATAAGGTCACTATGGGTCGGTACCAATTCAATGGCACCTAACAACAACAGCAGATACTATCCTATCACAGATGGAGCTGTACTTCATGATTGATCTTGATATGTCCCTTTTGATGGTGAATTCCTTTTCAACTTGTAATTCCTAGCATAGCAAACTATGTGATTTTCAGATTCAAAATGGTAAATATCAGTCCATTTCAGCTCATTAATGCCTAGTATATTGATGTTTATGCATTCCATTTCATGTTTCACAATTTCCAATTTTCCTAGAATCATACTTCATACATTACATGTTCCGATTATTAATGGAAGTTTACAGCTGTTTCTCCATTTTGAGTTGTGCTCCATCAGCAAATGAGGGTCCAGAGGGCTTTACGTCATTCGCATTATCTCGGTCAAGTCAGAAGACAGCTCTTCCCCAGTCACATTTTGAATGTCTTCCAACCTGAGGAATGCATCTTCCAGCACTATATCTGACAGTATTCTGGTGCTCTTCATCATGTTTCAATATTCAATAACCTGGTGCTATTCATAAGGTTTTGAGTGACTAGTCTGTCTATCCTTCTTCCTAGTCTGTCTTTGTCTGGTAGTTCAGCTGAAACCTGTCCACCATTGGTACCCTACTGTTATTTAAAATACCCGTGGCATAGTTTCCAGAATCACAGCAACACACTAGCGACCAAAGTACAACAAACTGACAGATGAGTGGTGGCTTGGCTTTTGATCATATGTTATCTCTTAAAATGGTTGAACATTACAGGGGCCAGCCTTGCACGAATGGGTTCCAGGAGGCAGACTGAAGATTAAAGTGACAGGAAACTCAAGGTGGTCAGTCGAGAGTGATTTAATGTCTTACAGATTCAATTTAAATACATAACTTCTTAGTTATGAGGGAGAGGGCAAATCACACATCTTTAATTAAATGATTCTCAAGACCTTTAGCTATATCACAATACTATTGACATCATACAGTGAGAATAATATGTTGGAAATTAGTACGTGTAAAGATTGGTTTTGTAGATAGGGAACACAATTTCCAGGATAATTATAAAGACGTGGATCAAGAACTACATGCTACAATAGTAACATACTAAGGTAATTTTCTTAACTGACTTATTTTTCTGCTATACATGTCCGTGTGCTCTTGGCCCATTGCCAGTGGCTAGCAAGGTCTTCCTTGTAGCTCTCTCCAACGTCTTCCTTGGTTTAGAGAACTGCAGCCAAGTGGGCTTCACACACTTTCCTTAAATCCTACAGAACATCAGCCATTTCTTTTGGCTACATGACTGGGTATTTTTTCCATCTTCTTTTTGTGCTTTCTGCATCATTCAATATTTTGCCCACTGAATGCTCCAGTATTGCAAGTTGAGGTTTGAATTGTTTCTTTGGTTCTTTCTCCTTGAGAAACGCTGGGTGTATGCCTCCTTTTTTTGTTTTCTAACTCCAAATCTTTATACATTTCATTATAATTGACTGTCTTCTCAAGCTTCCCTTTAAAATTTTCTGTTTAGCTCTTTCAATTCCTCATTTCTTCCATTCTCTTTTGCATCTCTAAGCTGGAGCAAATATCAGAAACTCTTCTGGTTTCTAATTTGTCCTTTTCTTTCTTGCTTGTCTTTTTAATTAACTTTGGTTTTATTCTTGTATGGTGTTCTTGATGTCATTCCACAACTTGTTTGTGATCATTAGTGTCTAGTGCATAAAATCTTTTGAATTTACGGATGATCTCTAAATTCATGTCAGGGATGTTCATGGTTATATTTTGGATCACATGGACTTGTTTAAATTTTCTTCATCTTCAGCCTGAAATTGCCTATGAGCAATTGATGGTCTGTTCAACAGTTTATACCTGGCCTGGTTTTGGCTGATGATATACAGCATTTATTTCCACCATCTCTTTCCACAGTTGTAGTCAATTTGATTTCTGTGTATTCCATCTGGGGAAGCTCATGTGTATAATCATCTTTCATACTGTTTGAAAAAAAAATTTTTTGCAATGAAGAGGACATTGGTCTTACAAAATTCTGTCATGTGATCTTCAGCATCATTTTTATCGCCAAGGCTACAACTTCCAAATACTGTTCCTTCTTCTTCATTTCCTTCTTTGGTGCATAAATTTGAACAGTAGTGGTAATAGCTGGTCTTCCTTGCACTGTTGTAGTTCAGTGAAGTTGAGTTGGTTCTGACTCATAGGAACCATGTATACGGTTTCCAAAGAGCTGCTGTTAAATTTGAAGCACAGACCTTGTGGTTCAAAGCGACCCTGAGGTCCAGTGTTCATCCTATAGTGCCATACTAGGCCTTCCTTGTAGGTGTATCGATATTATCCTATCACAGACAGCATTGTACTCAAAGATAGGTCTTGAAATTTTCGTTTTAATAATGAATGTGATGCCATCCCTCTTCAATTTGCTACTTCTGGCATAGTAAGCCATATGATTATCAGACTCAAACTGGCTAATACCAGTTCATTTCAGCTCATGATGTTTATGCATTCCATTTCATTTTTGACAACTTCCAATTCATACTTTGTGCATTCCATGTTCCAATTATTATTGAATGTTTACAGCTGTTTCTCTTTGTTTTGAGTTATGCCCCATCAGCAATGAAGGTCCCTAAACTTTATTCCATTCATGTCATCACAGTCAACTGTACTTTAAGGAGGCAGCTCTTCCCCAGTCATATTCTGAGCACCTTTAAACCTGAGGGACTCATCTTTCCAGCACTGTATCTGACAATATTCTGGTGCTATCCATCATATTTCATTATTCAACATTATGGTGCTGACAGTGTTTCACTGCTATTCATTAGGTTTTCAGTGGCTTATAATTCAGAAATAGTCCACCTCCCCTTCCAAGTCTGTCTAACTCTAGAAGCTTGATGGATACCTGTCCACCATGGGTGACCCTTCTGGCATTCAAATTACCAATGGCATAGTTACCATCATCACTGAAACACTCAAGCACTCACAGTGTGACAAACTGAAAGATGAGTGGTGGTAACGGCCACTAGTGCTAACTTATTGCAACATGAACTTAACTTTTCAGCAGCAGTGAGACGGATACTATTACAGGTGATGAAACTGAGTCACAGAAAAGGCCACACAGCTATATAAGTACACAGTTATTTGGCCTAGAAACTGTACTTTTCAACTCGCAGCTATAATCTTTCATAAAAAATAAAATATAATTTACAGTCTTTAAAATGCAAGTATGAGTTTCTGAGAACATGACTATAACATAAATCATTTATAAATTTAGTGAATAATGGATAGTCTACCTTGTAAATATGGTCGAAGCCTAAGTAAATGCTCTTTAAAATCTGCTAAGCAACCATGAAAGCAAAATATAAAAAGTCGTAAGAAGACCAAATAGCCGATCTGTCAAAAGAGAAAGAAGAAAGCATTTCTGGTGTTACATAAAGAAATGTTTCTAAACCATAAGAAGTAAACTAATTCATCATTATACTTACTTTTGGTAAAACAATGTCCAACTCACCTGATATTATGTTCTTTTGAAATAAGTTTAAAATATTTATATCAGAGTTGAATCACAAGTTCAGTCAAAAGGCTAATATATCATCTCTACATTACATATAATGACCAACAATGAATGCAGTTTGGTTCTATGTCCTTTTGAGTAGTGCTTTGAAAATTATAGGTTATGTCCCTTACGTGGTTCATGAAATCAACTGAGAAGAGTTTTTATATTAAATAAAACAGAAAAAAATTCAAAACACATCACATTGCCCCTTCTTTCATACATAGATAAGTGTGTGTGTTAGTGTGTGTGTTATATATGGTTGAGATTGCAATATAGAAGATACTTCTTATGTGTACCAGCCAAAACAATTTGAGAAACATTGCTTTAAATAGTGTTGAAAAATATTCTCTTATGCTTAAGTATGCTGTACAAAGCTCCCATTCCTATAAGAGGAAAAAAATGCAATTACTGTATAAGCACTATAAAAAGCTTTACTTCTCTGTAGTTTTAAAAAATGCATCATAAAAATATTATTTTCACAGACTACAGAAATTAATATATTCAAAAGTATATAATATGTAAGATTTCACAGAAAATGAGGGAAAAAAACCACATGAGACTGTTAAATTAATAAGTGGCATTACTGAACTATGAACCCAGGATATGTAGATTACACCAAAAGCCATACAATTTTTACTCTAGCAGTAATTTGCAAATATTTTAGACTCTGTTAGTAAAATATATATTGATAATTCATGTATAAATGTATTCCTAAATTTAAAACATATACTATTTGTGAATTCAAAAATGTTTGTGGGGCATGCCCAAGAGTTTTACTTGTGCATACATAATACTGTAATTTCCTAAAAGATTGAAGTTAGATAAGGAGGAAGTAGAGGGCAACAAATCATTTAAAAGAGTTACATTATTACGGATGAAAGCATTAAAGGTGGAATTCCAGTAGACAACGGAAATTGGAAAAACTAGGCAATTGGAAATAATTGTTGATATTGTTGCTGTTATGTGTTGTCAGTCGGTTCTAAGACACAGTGATCCTATTCCCGACAGAATAAAACACTGTCTGGTCCTCAAGCACAACTGTTTTGCTTGAGAATATTGTTGCAGCCAGGTAACAATTCATCTGCTTGGGTTTTTTTCTCTTTTTCAATGACCCTCCACTTGTCCAAGAATGATGTCTTCTCCAGGGACTGATCCCTCCTGACAACATGTCCAAAGAACAACAGACAAAGTCTCATCATCCTCACATAATGTTGTACTTCTTCCAAGACAGATTTGCTTGTTCTTTTGGAAGTCTGTGGTACTTTCAATATTCATTATCAACACCATAACTCAAGTGCATCAATTTTTCTACAGTATTCATTATTCACTTTCCAACTTTCACACACATATAAGATTAGTAAAAATACCACAGCTTGAATCAGGTGCACCATAGTCCTCAAACTGACATCTTTGCTCTTGAGCACTTTAAAGAGGTTTTGTGCAGCAGATTTGCCTAATACAATCCATCCTTTGATTTCTTTACTGCTGCTTCCATGAGTGTTGACGGTTGATGTGAGCAAAATGAAGTATTAGACAAATTCAATCTTTTCTCCATTTATATTGATGTTACTTATTGGATCAGTGGTGAGAATTTTTGCATTCCTTACACTGAAGGGCAATCAATACTGATGGTTGTGGTCTTTGATCTTCATCAGTTATTGTTGTTATTTGTTAAGTGCTGTTGAGTTGGTTCCGACCCATAGAGACCCTGTATAGGATTTCTGAGGAGGAGCTGGTGAGCTTGAACTTCCTCAATTCTTCAATTTCATCATCACTGGTTTTAGTGGTTGGTGTATAAACTTTAATAATAGTGGTATTAACTTGTCTTCCATGTTATTGTTAAGTGCCATGGAGTCGGTTCTGACTCATTGAGACCCTGTATAGGGATTCTGAGGAGAGACTGGTGTGTTTGAACAGTTGATCTTGCAGTTCAAAATGACCTTGCAGTCCAGTGTTTTACCAGACAGGAATCCTGTCTTCCTTGTTGTTGTTGTCATGTACCATCAAGTCAGTACCAACCCAGAGTGGCTTATGCACAGCAGAATGAAACACTGCCGATCCGGGGCCAACTTCACTACTTTGCCATGCTTGAGCCCATACATGCTGCCACTTGACCAGTCCATCTCGTTGGGGGTCTTCCTCTTTTTCTCTAACCCTTCAACTTACCAAACATGATATCTCTCTCCAGTGACTGGTCCCTCCTGACAGTATGTCCGAAGTATGAGAGACGAAGGTTGACCATCTTGGCCTCTAAGGAGCACTCTGGCTGCACTTCTTCCAAAACAGATCTATTGGTTCTTTTGGCAGCCCATGGCACTTTCAATGTTCTCTTCCAACACCATAACTCAAAGGCATCAATTCTTCTACGGTCTTCCTTATTACAATTGGGTAAAAAATATAAACAATGTGCTCAATGGTTAAGAATTAATTTTATATATATTTTATTGTCATCAGGAATATAAAAGTCAAAAAATGCAGAATGGTCACTAAAGGAGACGAGATGAAAAAGAGAACTAAGTCATATTTTGAGTCCTGGTGAGGCACTATAGGAAAAGCACTGGAGCACTAACTGCAAGGTCAGTGATTGAAAATCCTATATGGGGCTGCGATGAGTCAGAATCCACTCAATGGCAGTAAACAAGTCAGATTTTTTATATGTTTTTCCATGTTTTTCTTCCATTGTTGTTGTTGTTGTTAAGTGCCATTGAGTCAGTATGAACCCATAGTGACTTTATGCACTGCAAAACGAAACACTGCCCGATCCTGGGTCAACCTCACAATAGTTGCCATGCTTGAGTCTATCGATGCTGCCACTTGGCCAGTCCATCTCATTGGGGGTCTTCCTCTTTTTCTCTGACCATCCACCTTACCAAACATGATATCCCTTCTCCAGTGACTGGTTCCTCCTGACAACATGTCCAAAATATGAGAGATGAAGTTTGGCCATCCTGGCCTCCAAGGAGGACTCTGGCTGCACTTCTTCCAAAATGGATCTATTGGTTTTTTCGGCAGCCATTGGCACTTTCAATATTCTCCTCCAACACCATAACTCAAAGGCATCAATTCTTCTACTGTCTTCCTTATTCACTGTCCAGCTTTCGCATCCATATGAGGTTATTGAAAACACCATGGCTTGGATCAGGTGCACCTTAGTCCTCAAATTGACATCTTTGCTCTTCAACACTTTAAAAAGGTCTTGTGCAGCAGATTTGCCTAATGCAATATGTCGTTTGATCTCTTGACTGCTGCTTCCCTGAGTGTTGATAGTTGATCCAAGAAGAATGCAGTCCTTGACAACTTCAATCTTTTCTCCATTGATAAGAATGTTGTTTAATGGTCCATTGGTGAGGATTTTTGTTTTCTTGACATTGAGATATAATCCATACTGAAGACTGTGCTCTTTGATCTTCATCAGTAAATGTTTTAAGCCCTCTTCACTTTCAGCAAGCAAGGCTGTACCATCTGCATATTGCAGGTTGTTAATGAGTCTTCCTCCAATCCTGATGCTATGTTTTTCTTCATAGAACCCACTTCTCAGATTATTTGCTCAGCATACAGGCTGAATAAGTATGGTGAAAGAATACAACCTTGTCACACACCTTTCTTAATTCTAAAACATTCAGTGTTCCATTATAAAGTAATAAATATCCATAATAGAAATTTTTGGAAATACTGCAAAAAGAAGATAAAAATTGATCACAACCCCATTATGCAAATAAGGTCATTGCCAACTAATGCCTTGTCTCTTTTTCTCAAGTCCTTCCTCGCTGCAAAGTTTCAGTTCTTTGTATGTTTAATTCCTATTATGTGCTCTATGTATCTTCTCTCATTTGGTCCACATATGAGTCTTATGCCCCAGGTATATCAGAGAGTATGTAGCAGGATTTCTAAGGACTGGGATACTCTATCTCACAAAAAGGTTCTATTTTATGACTCATGAATAGTCTCTCATTTTGGGTTTTTAATAGCACATAATCAGAATGAAATAAAAAATATAATTTTGTAAGAATAACCATTAATTTTAATTGCCTCATATATATCTGATCCTAAAGAAACCTATCTAGATTTCTTTTCTTTCTTTACATTAAACCCATTATGTAAGCTAAATTTATTTGACTAATAATAAATTTTTCAGCTATCAACTATGTTCATTACAAGTAGTGGATCAGTATGACTTCCAAATCCTTATAAAGCCTGAGCTACTAAAGTGACAGAACACTGAAAGAACAACTCAGCTCCTGAAACTGAATAACTACTTAAGGTTATCCATCAGCAAATTTAAATGGAAAAGAAAAAGGCCTAGAAAAGAAGTCCTTAACAAAAAAATATGTTTGTGTGTGTGTGTATAGTTGTTTTTGTTGTTGTTGTCATGTGCTGTGGAGTCGATTCCGACTCATAGTGACCCTGCTTAGGGTTTCTGTAAATCTTTACGGGAGCAGAAAGCATCATCTTTCTCCCA